GTCTCATTTAATTTCCACAGCTGAAATGTTTCAATAAAGTTTGTCAAAACGTTATGCTGCATGCACTGAGGCTGCCTTTAAATACGCAACAAAATTTCAATGCATGAGTTCTGATTTTGCACCAGGACATGTGTGATGGAAAAATTGGGTAAGCAAAATCAAAGTTTGATTACAGCATTCTGTCTCCAAAACGCAGTGCTAGTTAATTTTTTTTCTTCCTGGGAAAAGATATCACACAGTTAGTTATATTTTTGAGTTTGAGCTCGATTGGATTCTTACTCGATTAATATTATCATGAACGAAGTAAGCTAAACTACGTAATTCAATCGATTCAACCAACCGTTAATTCTGTTTTAAAAGAGTTCGGTCTTTGTTTCTTTACATCCGAAAAGAGTTCAACTCCCACATGAAATGGTTCGGGACACAAACAATGCCACCGTTTCATTGTTTTGCTACCGTGACGTTATGTGGAAACACTTTATAGCTAAATGGTGCACTGTGCATAAGATGTTTATTTGTTTTTGTAGTGTCATATTTGCATCAGGCTTGTGAGCATAATTGCACAACCGAACTCTCCAAAATTATCGCCGTCGACCTTCATTGATTCCTTTGTTTATTTCTATTGTCTTGTACGTGCTGCGGTTCCAATGACGTTNAGCATAATTGCACAACCGAACTCTCCAAAATTATCGCCGTCGACCTTCATTGATTCCTTTGTTTATTTCTATTGTCTTGTACGTGCTGCGGTTCCAATGACGTTTCTTCGAGGTTTTTCATTGCTTCAAGACCTTTGACACAGCAGTACATCTAAATGTTTTCCGTTATGACCTTGGAGAAACAGCTTTGCCTTTTCACTGTATGGCTTTTTACAACAGGTAGGTTTTACGGTGTTTCCATAAATTAAAAGTTAGCAAGGTGTCATTAGAGCGTTTGCATGTAAATGTGCTCCTCTTTCACATGAAGTGAACAATGACGGAGCACTTTCCAGAAGATGCCTCTTGTGGACCAAACATTTTGAGTTGATCATAAAGTTTGATTTATGCTTTCACATTTCTGCCTTAAAAGTAGAAAATATAATTCCTGGTATTCTCTGCATTCTTCCCTATTGCTAAAAGCCACGGCAGATTTCTAGCAAGACTTTTAGTCTTCAGTTGTAAAACTTGATTTATAGTTTGGTAAATTGTCATATGCAAATATGGCAGGATACTCGCTCCAAACGACATCATCTGGCATCTTACTGTAGCCTTGCAAGTTTCGTGGTTTACATCGATCTTTTCCAAGTTAAAGCCTATGTCTTTTGGGTTTGAAATATTGGTAAAAAAAAAAAGGGTTCATTTATAAGGGAACAGAACTAACGGTAATTACTTTGTTAAACAGCTGCGACAGAAAGAAGAAAAGCATTCTCATCTATAAAGTTGATAAGTAAATTCAAAAGTAAAACTTCTTCCGTTTTCGATTTTCGGGAAACAAATAACAATTTGTAAATATGTATGTAATATACGCATTTATTGACACTTTTNAAAAAAAAAAAAGGTTCATTTATAAGGGAACAGAACTAACGGCAATTACTGTGTTAAACAGCTGCGACAGAAAGAAGAATAGTATTCTCATCTATAAAGTTGATAAGTAAATTCAAAAGTAAAACTTCTTCCGTTTTCGATTTTCGGGAAACAAATAACAATTTGTAAGTATGTATGTAATATACGCATTTATTGACACTTTTATAATTGGCATGCTATCATTGACACTTCACACGTAGCTTTCACTGAAGCCTATACATCCAATCGATTTATGTTGGATAACGGAATCACTTATGCACTGACATAGATTTGCAGTCCGTCTGTCATAGCGTCTACGTTATAAGTCGGTCGGCGATGCGAAATCCTGAAGGAAACAGAGCCAAACAACTTTAATGTCTTTAGGATTAGTGTTGCGTTATATTTTGAATTGACGTGACTGCGTTTATGTTAATTTCCCGCTTATTCCTGTTGCTGAGTGGGCCTTAACTGAACCACCAGGAAATCCGATTTTTTTTTTAAGAATGGCAGGCCACACGAAACAGTCCTTTTGTACATTAAAGATAGAGAAGGAGCAATATCGAAATCATTTTTCTGTTGGATATACTAAACGTAAAAGCGTATAGATGATCCCACAAGGGAATCGATCAGCGTAAAATGCATTCCGACATAAATATCCAGCATGCTTGAATAAGGTGGAAGGTTCATTTAAATAAGCTTTTTAGTTATTGCTTCACATTTTGTTTTATTTCCAAATGATGATGATTTACTTTGCAAAAACGGAACTACCACTAAGGCACCAAATTATAGTATCTCAACACAAGAAAAAAATTCCATCGTGCAAGTCTGCAATCATAATAAACGGCACGCAATGCATGCAGAAGCGATGACGTTTAAAAATTGTTGCTAGAAGATTGGAACTTGAGCAGACAAACTGATTCTTAAACTTTTGGGTTAGAAATTTTAGGGGTTTACATTTAGGGTAGTCCATTGGTGGTTCATTCAAGTAGTTCATGTGCCAGGTCCATCTTGTTAGTCCATGTGCTAGGGGTCAGCGAAATGTACTAACCCAAATAAAAAGCACTCCGCTGAAAAGTTCCTTTCTCTGAAATCAACACATTGTCTTTAAAGATATTTGGCAAAGCTAATTACCTCACCGGAGATTAATTTGTTGATATACTTGTCCAAGAGAAAATCATTTTCTCTTGACTTGTCATATCGCGTGTGCGACCCGCTTGTCTATC